TCTAGCGAGGCACCACTGTACCGCAAAAGCATACCTAAGGCTTCCAGTCTGCCTTTCCTTTAAAGCAGCAGTTCCCAATCTTGAGTACCAAGGAGGAGATGGGATGGCGCTTTTCAAATACTTGAAAGGTAGTCCTATAGAGAGGAGAGGCAGGGTCTGTTCTCTATCATCCCAGAGAGCAGGACACATAACGATGGGCTCAAGTTACAAGAAGCCAGATTTTGGATGAAAATCAGGAAAGACTTCTTAACTGTTAGAGCAGTAGGGTAATGGAATCCATGACTTCGGGAGGTGGTGAGCCCTCCAACGCTGGAGGCCTTCAAGAGAAAATTGGACAAACTTATCTGTCAGATTTGCCTTGATTTGGATCCTTGCATCAAACAGGGGGCTGGACTCGATGGCCTGATAGGCCCCTTCCAAGCTTCATTATTTTATGATTCTGTGCTTCTGTTATCTCCAGATGTTCATGGACTACAGCTCCAAGAAATCCTGGCCAGTGCGCCTAGTGATGAAGGCTTTTGGGAGGTTTAGGCCAGAACACCTTGGGAAACAAAGTTGAGAACTGCTGCTTTAAAGGAAGCAGAAGTACGTTGCTACTCCTAGGGCTTTTGCTGCTCAGATACTTTGTTGTTGATGTTGTTTAGTCGTTAAGTCGTGTCCGACTCTTTGTGACCCCCATGGACCAGAGCACACCAGAACCTCCTGTCTTCCACTGCCTCCCGAAGTTGGGTCAAATTCACGTTGGTCGCTTCGATGACACTGTCCAACCATCTCATCCTCTGTCGTTCCCTTCTCCTCTTGCCTTCACTCTTTCCCAACATCAGGGTCTTTTCCAGGGAGTCTTCTCAGAGACTATATAACCATATGAATTAATGGCCACCACTGTCTAGTTGTGGCAAACCAGAAGTCTTTAAACAATCTCTTGGTTCTATCTTTTCCATGCCTTTTTCTTTTTTTCCCTTTTCTTTTAGTGCCAAAAATGAGTCGCGGGTATTCAGAAAACAATAATTTCCTGTATGACAATAATCAAATGGTTTTGGATATGATCCTCTGCTCCCTAATTGGGGTCCCTCAGCCTATCAACTGGGACAGTGTGGCGAGATTAGTCCCGGGCTACTCATCAAAAGAGGTAAGTTTTGGCTTCCAACTTTGTTCCCTCTTTTCTACCCAGACTGTTAGTTGTGTTGGGTTACCTGCTTGAAATATTTCTTGTTTGTATGCCAAATTCATTTTGAGGAAATGTTCTAGTAAAACTGTAACTGGTCAGTGTCCTTTTTTTTTTTTTTACCATACCCACCATGTTGGCTACGTATTCTGGAGCTTGTCACTGAAGAGGAGAATCTGATTTTTATTTTTATTTTTTTGTTAAGATGTAAAACTTGTAACTTGTTTGCAAAGGTTGAGTGCAAACAAGGAGAGACTTATTTTGTAAAATTGTGTTTACAATATTCATCCATTGTAAACAAATAGCCCCATAGAACTTAGAAGAGTTATAGCAGAACACATTTTTTCAGATTTCATACGGTTAGGCAAGGGCTGTAGAGGCTTTCAGAATATCCCTGGACACCAGCATAAAATTTCTAGCCTCAAACACTTAGTCACTCAAGCCTGCATAAGATTGAATTTTCCCCCCTAGATTCCTAGATACTGCCTGCGGGGCCAGTACTGGGAATCTGGAAAAAAAACAACGTTGGGCAGTTTTTTTTCAGCCTTGGCTTCAACAGGAACAAAAAATAAATAAGATGTACTTGTTTTTGTTGGACAGTGTGCAAAAAGGTTTGATGAACTAAAAAGCAGTGGAAATTCTCCAGTTGATAATCAATACAGTTCGCTAATGGCCAGTGGTGGGAGCCCTATGGAAACGCTAGCTGGTTATATCAGATCATCTCTTCTTGATGCTCAGGAAGAATCACAGGAGGAACCTAATGAAAAAGATGCTATTTCTGGAAATGGTAAGTGGTTTTGTTGCATCCATAGCCTTCTACATGCTGTTTTTGTATTGGTCTATCAGTTGAAATTGGCCCATTCCCTTTTTATTGTGTGGTGATTTTTTTAAAAAAATCCTTTGATTTTTGTTTTATTATTTTGACAAAAATTAAGCAGGTCATTAAAATTCTTTAATTTTTTTTTAAAAGCTCTTCTTGCAGCTTTCTTACTGCAGTCAGAGTCTCTCTACATGCTTGTAGGAGCAGTTCATTTGATGGGGTTACAGAATGTGAAAGAATCTTAATCAGGCCTGGGAAGGACTGTTTCTTAGCACAATGTGGTGCATCTGAACATCATGGCAGAAGGCATTAATAGATGCTAGACCACTGCTTCTGCTCTGACAGGGGCCGTGTAGAAAGTGCTGGTTGTCTTTAAGTGACAATGGATTTCTGAAGAGCGTAGAAAAGTTAGTTTTGAGAAACTACAGCTCCCAGAAACCTCCCCCCACTGTCCAGCATAGCCAATGAATATAGAAGGTGTATACAGTAGAAACTTGCCCCCACCCGTGGGTGTCAGTGTCTGCTGATTCACTTACCTTCTGACTGAAAATAATAAATACCATATTTTTCCGTGTATAACAGGCACCACTGTATAGGCTTTTCTAGCCTGGCAACGTCCAGGTTATTATCCTAAACCACCATCATTTTGATAACTGAGGATGAGAGAGGTAGCCCATCCTTTGCTAGCATGGCTATGATGGCTGAGGATTATGGGAGGGATGTGGAGGGAGGGGGCCCTTAGAGGTTTAGGTCTCTAGCTGCGGAGCCAGATGTTGGGAGTTCAATTCCCCACAGTGTCTCCTGTGTGTACAGACAGCCTGTGTGGCTTTGGGCCAGCTTGCACAGTCCCAGGGTGAAGGGTGAATCACATCTGAGTACGCTCTACCTAGAAAAACCCAAGTAAGGGTCACCCTAAGTTGGAATTGGTTTGATGGCTTTTTCTTCCTCCTCTTCCTCTTCTTCGTAGTGGTTAACATCCAAGTGGCTTCTTCAGTCGGAGGCGAGCTGGGAGGAGACCCCTGATAGATCCTCCCCATTGGTTTCACTTCCTCCTGGTCTGAAGTGAAACCAACGTGGAGGGGAGGTGAAACGAGCATGGAGGGTGAACATGGAGCAGCGAAACGTTTCAACCTAAGAAGGAAGAAGTCCCGTTGCCATGACTGAACTTCCAGATAAACTCATCTGGATGACTGAGAATCTTCACAGTTATGTAGCATCTGATACTTCTACATTTTTCAGCATCCATGGTTGTGTGTGTGTGTGTGGAACCAATCCCCCCCGTGCGTACTGTGGTCCTACTATAGTTATACAGATCAAAGAAATGGTTGGCAAGATGTAGGTAATGCGAGGGTGGTGAGGCCGTGTGTGACTTATAAACCCTACAGAATATGGGAGAAGGTACTGGCCAGATCCTGTTGGAGCTGAGGCTCCAACACTTCGTCCATCTCATGAGAAGACTCCCTGGAAAAGACCCTGATGTTGGGAAAGTGTGAAGGCAAGAGGAGAAAGGGACGACAGAGGACAAGATGGCTGGACAGGGTCATCGAAGCGACCAACATGAATTTGACCCAACTCCGGGAGGCAGTGGAAGACAGGAGGGCCTGGCGTGCTCTGCTCTGTGGGGTCACGAAGAGTCCGACACGACTTAACGAATAAACAACAACAACACAGATAAGGGACATTGGAAGCATAATTGGAGGACTTAGTATGTGGAGGGATGGTGGTGGTCTCTCAGTGATCTAGTAGCTAGGGAAACTAAATGTTTATTGAAGCAGTTGACTGCAGCCCTTTCCTTAGTATGTTAATGCCTAGGCAAGGCCAGGTCTGTAATATAAACTATTCCTTATGTTCTTGTTGGGGTTCTTTTTCATCTGTACATGTTCTGTTCAGAATGTAGAATTTCTTGAACTTTGCCTAGTGGAATGGTGTCAGATATACGATTACTTATTTGGGATTGAAAGTATGTTGGTGGAGAAAGACACACAGCCAAGTACTCCTTTATGACAATGTCCACCACCCAGACTTTGTGTTCTCTGTATTCAGTACTTCAGTAAGAAGCTGGAAATAGAAGAAAGTACCAGTGGGATAAAGGGGACTTTACGGGCAAGTTGCATTGAATTTTATTATAAATATGTCTTGTGTGTGTGGACATCTAGATGTCTCAGGAAGGGCTTGCTTGTGCACCAGTGTCATAAAATGCAGAGAGACCTGTTCTTGCTCTCCCGCAGCAAAGAGAATCTGGAGTGTTTAACTAGGAAGTAAGCTGGGTTGGTTTTGCTTGCTTCATTTTGTAATAGCGGTGGTTTTGTAAGTAGAGACAAACCCTCTTTGGCTGAAAGAATGGTGCCCCTCACTTTGTCCATATTTCGATCTGGGTGGGACTAGTTTTTTTTCTTTTTGTTTAAACCAGCCTTTTCTTTTCATTTCATTTCTTTTAATTTAATTTTTTTATTTTGGAAGTACCGACATAGTACAGTGGTGCCTCGCATTACAATGTTAATTCGTTCCAGCGAAATCGATGTAGAACGAAAACATCGTAAAGGGAAATTAAAAAGCCCATAGAAACACATTAAAACCTGTTTAATGCGTTCCGATGGGCTTAAAAC